TTAAATCCTTGATGACCACATTCACCTTTTACGTTTGTAAAAATCGTTCTCTGGTTTCATTGGTGTGTTTAGATATACGTGTATTTTTTGTGTTATTTTTTTTGAGGTAGCTAAGTAACTCCATTGAGCTCCAGAGAGAAGGGCAAGGTGCCTTTCGTGCAACCCTCCTCAAAACAAAGCTGTCAGAAATGATGGATGATGGGGCTCTGTCCACAGCCGAAGCCTCAGACCCCAGCTGCTCCCAGTCCAGAGTGTAAAGTCAATTTGTTCTTTTAATAAAGTCTCCCCTAAACATGATTTGTAAAAATGGTTGCTTGCTTTGTCACAAAACACTTTCATTATCACTTTTAAAAAGAAAGGCTTACTTTTCAATGGCAGTTCCATTCAGTTTAGTTTTCATGTAGTCTGGGCTTGTTCCTGTTTGGTCGGTTTATGATACAAAAGCCAAAATACACAAATCTTGATCATTTGGCAAACAGCTTGGGTAAAACTATGTATTTTTCATGGATGAATTGTGCAGCTGCATGGGGTTCGTTTTCTAATGGATTAAATTAGCAAGCGCCTCCATCAAGGTCAATAAACAAAGAACAGTGCCCAGTCCTGCAAGTGTGACTCTGTATTTGGGGCCTGTAGAATTGCAGGCCGGAAACTGGCACCATAGAAAGCATTTTCAGGTTGCGACACAGGCCAGCAAAATTGAGACGAGCAATATATATTTTTTTTTTTAAAGTCATAACTGGCTGGCCCTGTTCCTTTTGCTCAGCAAGGGTGTGTCCAGGGTCTGATGGCAATGTGACATTAACGGATAACATCAAGATGAGAGTTGGTACAAAACGAGTGGAACATTGGATTTTTTAATAAAATTGTTGTTGTTATTTAATGAAAATAATATACTTTTCAGGGAAATATTGAGCGTTCTTTCATTTAAAAAGGCTAAGAAGATTAAAAAATACAAAATATATTGGCCAAAACATGATTTTTTTGGGTAGTTCGGCAATCTTGTCACAGCACGTTATGTCTAACCCATTTTAATTTGGGTTAGACTCCCAGCTAGACTACATCTCCCATCATGCACCATGAGCCAGAATGTCCATGATGTTTCACCTTTGTGCTTTCTCAGATTTTTGGCCAAAATATTTCAGTATTTGAATTTGCACGTATGTTTGTGTTATGTTTTGCTGAGCTGCGATCACAAGACCCAGCTGTAACAGGGCAACTAACTGATTCACTGTTAGGTCCTCATCTAGAGTAGACCAGGCAATGATCTGATCTATTGATGTAACCACACCACAAAACAGATCTAAATCCAGACCTGGACTTCTTTGCGTCTAAAGCTGAGCCAAGACCTGTAGGTTTTCACATGGACCCCTGTGTCTCCTCTCTTGATCATTATTAGTTATTGTTCACTGTGTTACCTTTGTACCCAAGAGCCCGAGTCTTGGACAAGTACCATTGTGGCATGTGCACTACAAATACAGTACAAAAGAGATGGTCCTTGCCTTGAAGAACTGGTCATCCAGGTATGAAACAAGACAGGCAATGGATACAAACAGGTGGGGGAGGGTAGTGTGATAATGTTGGACATACTAAGCCATGGGGGATGAAGTCCTGGTCCTGTTGAAGTTGATGGGAGATTTGCTGTTGATCTCAGCAGGGCTAGAGTTTCACCAGGGTTTCAGTGGCAGGATAGTGACTCTTCCTTTAAATGGTGAAAATCAGGATCAGGATGGGCTCAGCTGAAGTCAGGGCTTGGGGTGGCACTGGTGCTAAGGCTCACGCATGGTTGACAGCTCAGAGGTCACAAGTTTGAGGCCACAGCAGAAACGCTTACGGCGTGGGCCTGTCAGATTCCAGTGAATCTGCAAATTCTGCTAAATACTTCATTGTACAAGGACACACAAAAGGAAATGAAGTAGATCAGCCAGCGCAAAATCTGTTGGGAAATTGAATGCTAGCATTGCAGTGTTCATGTGCCATCCTAGCTTTTGTTAAAAGTGACAGAAGTTAAACGTATACTTGAATATGAGATCTCGCAATTCAAGATTTTTTTTTTCTTTTGTACAGCGGTCTGCAGGAATCATCAGTATGCCACAATACTGTGTCGTGGCTACAAGTAGCTGGTTCTCTGGTGCATGTTCAGCCTTTGTCTGTTTTTTTCTCTAGTGCCCTTCCTTGCTAGATGGTAAAGTGTGATGCAGTGGAGAGCTACTGAGAGGGCAGGTTAAGCTTTAAAACTCACTTTTTTTTTTTTTTTTTTTTTTCTAATGCAGCCTTCTCTTTTGACTGCTCCCTTGGTTTCCTTCACCCACATTGCATTTGCCATCACATCACACTGCATTCCTGGAACCACCTTTCCATTAATGTCCATCCAGTTCCCTCCCTTTCACAGGTCTTTGAAAAATTTCTATCATAGTAACTACACACAAGTCTGGGTTTGTTCTGCACAGCAGGGAGCCGGCAAGTGGGACTTCCCTCAGTGGTGCACGAGTGCGGGAGCTGCATGTGAGCTTCACAGAGCCCTGCACAGTAGTGGGGGGCCAACCAGGCTGCACTCCTTACCCCCACATGCACTGGGCACTAGTGCCCCAAGTGCCCACACCTGCTGCACCATGGTGGAGGAGGAGGGGAGTGTGTAGGGGGGTCTCTGCAGCTGCCCCCACCCCACACACCCCCGCCTTGCCTCCAAAACCCCTGCACATATCCACACCCCACCATATACGCACCCCAACCACACACAGTATACAAGAGTAAGACTTTATTTTGAGTTATGAAGCAATCATCTCTATAATACACTACACAAACATAAATCATGACAAATAACATTTTTGTAATAAAATTAAAATATTTTATAGTAGGTGTTTGACTTTTAGTGTATGATTTGTTTTTTTTCTGGTTCCAAGATGGCAATCTTCCTCTCCCAAAAGGAGTATTTCCAGAGGCTAAAAGGAGGGACTTCTGGTGGCAAAGGTCAGGAGATGGAGTGGGACCTCTGGTCCCAAGACAAGGGACGGGGCTACCCTTGCAGCCCTTGACAGCTCACCAAAACTCACCAAGTGGCCCTCCAGCCAAAATAATTGCTCGTCCCGCTCTAGTCAGAGAGCAGCAGGAGCAGAGCACAAATAAGTTCCTCTCCTCCATGGGGAGAAATATAGATAATAAAACCCTCTAGGGAGAGGAAGCAGAAAACTCAGAAGTACAGTGGCTTGTAAAGCACTTGGAGGTCAAAGATGTTATGTAAGTGCACAGGGTCAAATTATGTGCCTGTTGAAATTGGTGAGTTCATTGCCATTGACTTTTGTATCTAGAGTAAAATTCTGGTTTCACTGAAGCCCTGGGAGTTACCTTTTAGGGGTAAGAAACATTTAAGTATTCAGGCACTCCACAAATAGTCATCACAAAAGCATCTTATCCAATAAGTTCTTTTTCTTTGTCTTCCTTGTAAAGAAAATTTAATTTAAAATTGGCTTGAGTAACTTTTGTTTTCTTAATTGAAAGAAGAGGAACAGCCCCAGGCCCAATAGCTCATGGATGGAGTTTCAGCTCAGTGAAAATATCTATGGCAGGATTATAAATCTGAGCGAAGCAGGGAAAGACATGATTCTTTTAATGGCTTTGCTGACAGAAAAGCAAAATGCATGTTCCATCCTGTTACGTTTTAGTGGAGACGGGATCTGGCCCAACAATAGGAGTGCGAAGTTGACCCTTGGACTATTGCAACTTGAGGTTCTAGGGCAAGATGCATTAGCATTCACAGTACAGATTGTGGACTTGGTGGCACCAGCTCCGTAGTTGTTTGTTTCACTTAATGCCGCTAACGTTTCAGTGTTTCATCTGTACTAGAACGGTGTTGATTTCATTGACAGTAGCCCAACCAAGCAAAGCAAGCATGGTACGACCTCAAGCCAACACGTGCAAGTGAACCATTAAGAATGTACTTAGTGGCATACTGTAGGCCTCTAGCACGCAAGGGCCAATGCTTGCATTTGCGCCCCAGCCCGCGGCAGATCGCCGAGCAGGGAGGTGCTCAATCGCTAAGCCCAGAAACACTGGCAGCGAAACTGGAAGTTCACTCCCCACCCGAGCACAGCCAGCACCCCACACCAGGCTGGCATCCAGGGGCATGCCCACCCCCCGCCCCACCTCCCCCGTCGGTACACCACTGAATTTACTAGGTCTAAACTGCTCCAAGACAGTGTGGTGCTACCATTGGAACTGGACCCAGTTGGACAATTCAATTCAGTGAAACAAAAATTCTTTGCAAAAATCCTGGTTCATTGACTCGAAAATATGTTCTCAAAACCTCTAGGGTTTGATGAGCATCTGCTGAATCTAGGAACCCTTCTTGGGGATTTCTGAGTGATCTCGCCTTTGGAGCAGGGACATGTGTAGCTCTTTTCAACTGCTCAGTGGAGTTGCTTTTAACAATTCCACTGTTCAGCAGCAAAACTGGCCAGAAAGTCAATTCCACAAAGCAGTTTTCATAGATTCATAGACATTAGGGGCTGGAAGGGACCTCGCAAGATCATCAAGTCCAGCCCTCCTGCCATGGGCAGGAAGTCTGCTGGGGTCAAATGACCCCCACAAACTAAGCATCCAAATGCCATTTGAATGAGTCTGGAGTAGGGGCTTGCACCACCTCTGGGGGGAGTCTGTTCCAGTTGCAGTGTTTGGGAAGCTATTAGTTCACATTAAATTTAAAAAACATTTGATTTTGGTTTGATTCGGACCAAAACCGGATTTTTAAATAAAATATCTGGCAAATTGAAACTTTATTTTTCTAGCCAGCTCTAATTAGAATTCACTGAACCACTGGTGGTCACCCATTCATAGTTTTCATTTCCTGAAGAGTTGGGCATGGTTTTCCCCCCAGTATTCTTGCTTATGAGATCAGATGCCAGAGCTAACATTGTTAGTAGTGCCATTTAGGCTTTTTGGTCATCTGATGCTTCCTTGATCTCTATTTATGTCTATATTTATCTATTTATTTTCTCCCTCACAGAATATCTAAGGAGCGAGACTGCCTTTCTGGAAGAATTGGTGTTTGGAAGTGGAGATACCATTGAACTTTCCTGTAATACCCAGGGCTCTTCTATGTCTGTTTTCTGGTTTAAAGATGGTATTGGGATTGCACCTACCAACAGAACTCACATTGGACAAAAACTGTTGAAGATAATTAACGTGTCATACGATGACTCTGGGCTGTACAGTTGCAAGCCAAGACATTCCAGTGAGGTCCTGGGTAACTTTACAGTCAGAGTAACAGGTAAGTGCTGGACTGCAGATTTTTTTTCTTTTCTTTTTTTAATTGTATTCCTCCAGGTGTTCAAAGAATATAAGAGATGTCATACTGGGTCAAGACCATGGGCCCATCCTGCTCCCAGTGTTTGGTATCTCAGTGATACAGAGTGAATAAGGGGAAAGCCTATCCAGCCTGATCTTCCCATACAGCTTCCAGCATTTAGAGGTCAAGAGGTCTTAATGTGGAGGCTGCAGTGGACTGTTCTGTATTCTTTCTTCTTGCTTTGTAGGCTTCTATTTGAACTCTTAACTCCTAGGAAAGTCAAAGTAGGCCCAAGGAAACCCAATTTTCTGTAATAAATGTTACGAGTCTAGATATAAATACCATGAATGCTGTAGAAATGGTGCTACCCAGGGAAAAACTTAAACTGCTCCGAATGCTTGACAAGCATTTTGAATTGAGTATTTACATAAAGGCACCTCTCTGAGCCTTAAGGAGACTGACCTTTTCTTTCCATATGCATAGGAGAAATCAGTGCCAAAGTCAGGAATAGAACCTAGCAGTCCTACCCACTCTCCCCCTGTCCTAGCAAAGAGATCACATCCATCCTGGCTACACTCATCTAGAAAATCCTGCTTTCACATGCCATTTATCTGAAATCTGGTGCTTCACCTACCAGCCTGAATTGGAACAGAACAAAACTTTCAAACAAACCTGGATCGATAAAAGCTGCTACTGCTGCCGTTCGCTCAACCTTCTCTCACATGGTGAGGACAATGAGGGCTGAACAGGCACACGCTGCTCCAAGGGGCCAAATGATTCTTGCTTATTAATTCCTAAGTCCTTACTTAACTAAGAATGCCCATAATTATAGTACCACTGGACAGGTGGGTGGATAAACATCAATGTTGTCATTGGCTAAGAATGCCAATTAAATAGATTAAAGTCTAAAATGGCAGAAATATCATACATTTTTTTTTTTTTAATGTATGGTTCTAGGCATATTTTCCATTCATCTCTTTTGGAGTTGAATGTAAAGCATATCACAAAACTAAGACCCTGGATAATCTCCAAGTGGATGCTCCAGAAATTTAAGCAACCACTTAAAAAAAATTGTCCCTAAGCTTTTACTGTACATAATTCCTCCCAGAAACCCTCTACTGATAAGAACCCAACTGCATGCCCAAGACATTCACCCCACCCTATGGGGTTTGCCTCAGCAGAAATGTAATATCAGACCAAAGATAAAACCAAAGTGGCTTAACAATAAAAAATGAATTCCCCCCCCCCTCCTTTTTTTTGTTGTTGATTTTCTGCAAGTCTTGACAACCATCTGTTTTTAATTGAGCCTCATTGGAAATGGCTGTGAACATTTCAAGGTCATATCAATTAAATAGTTACAGAAGTATTTGCCTCTTGAAAAGCTTCCTTGAAAGAGGAGTGATTATTGGGGATGGGGAAAATATCCAAGGAACTGCAGATTGTTAGGAATGTTTGTATCTTCTTTTTCAAAAGTGACATTAAAATACTTCTGAGACCAGGGGGCAGCACAAAGGCAGCGAAGGGCAGCTGGTTACACACTCAAAGCGAACCAGCTGCCAGAGCAAAAAGTTGGTAAAGTGAGAAATTGTTTGTAATAGTGGAAAGGCTGATAATCCCCTGCTTTTTTAAAGTTTAAGCCCCCCTTTTTTTCTCCTCTTGGCTAATAATAGCTAATAACTGCTTGAGAACAAGAGGGTAACCTGAACCTGCGTTCTGACAGTATTAGGCGTCTTTGATTCTATTAGCCCACTGTCGTTACCACCAAAGTGCTGATCGTGGGGGGGGTTCCAGCTTTAGCTGTCAGCAACACTGTTTTCAACTTTGAAGCTCCTGCGTTGTGTGATGTTAGTGGCGCCTGTTATATTCACTTACATGTCTTGATAATTATTATTGATTGCTCAGTGGTGGACTCTCTAAGCAGAGTTGTAATTGGAGACGTGCGGTTTACATTCCCACATCTTAAAGGGAACATCAGTGAATGATTATAATTACTTCAATATCTAAATAAATATTGAGTGAGATTTGGGACCACAGTTCTCTGAGTAACACTGATGGAAATCTGAAGTAGCAAACTAGTCGCCCAGGATTTACACTCTAACTAGATAAAACCAGTGGGGACGCATAGTGGGTGCATGTGCACTGCCTGAGAGTGCTGGTGCACCCCCTGACAGGCAGCGCTCCCCGCTTAGGCAATGAGCGGGGCGGGGGCAGGCAGGAGTGCCAGTGCCCACCCCCCTGCAAGTACTGGCCAGGGAGTGGGGGCGCCAGGTGAAGCGCCACTGGCATTTCCAGGAGCACCACTTGCACTTCCCAGTTGGCACAGTTGGCCACAGGAGGACTCCCGGTCTGGGAGATTGGCTGCGGGGGGACCCTCCCCTCCTCCCGGTCGGCGAGATTGGCCATGGGGGACCTCACCCCTGCCCCAGTCACTGACTGGCCACTGGGGGGGGGGCGGGGGGCATGTGCCCCCTTTGACTCAGGTGGCACCAGTTGCCCATGGTAAAACTAGACCCTTTGTATTGGGAGGCTGGAAGGAATTTAGAATAGTTTCTAAACAGAATGACGTCTTTAATAAATGGTGCTAGAATCTGGAAGCAGCGTAGGTCTTGTCTGTCAGGAGATATTAATGATCAGTAGGCACAGAAGTGGATTTTACAGTAAGTCTGCATTAAATTCCAGTTGACTTCTGCTAGTGGACACTAAATGAGATGGCTTACTCCACTTCCAGAGTGGAGTCAATAAACACTATATAGCTTCTCTATGCAAGCAACTATGTGGAGTGTAGAGTAGCTAACGGTGTTAATTCACATCTGAACTGGTTTTGATTTCCCAGCCCTTAATTCTGCTTCCAGGTTTCCATTTGACACTGAAAGTGAGAATCAATGTTTGCACTGGGAAGCATTGGAAATCGGAGAGAGTGCAAGTTTGTTTTTTTTTAACCTAAATTCTGAAACTTTAATTAAAGAATACAGTAATTTATTCATGGAATTTAATGTAACTTATACTTTTGTCCTTAAAACTTGTGGTCCTAGATGTGGCTGCCTCTTAAACATCAGAACACTTACAATTAGAGCTGCCTCAAAATTGATCTTGCTTGCTACTTGCTACTTACTACTTAGTTGTTACCGCAGTCATTTAGTACTTGCATAACCAAGTACTAGTCTAATTGACTGCGCAGTAACAGGTGTTACTACACAGTAGCATCCCAGCACTGGCCTAGTGATGCTTACTGCACGGTAGCTAGTTACTGTTGCGCAGTATGTTCACATCATGGTTTGTGCCCTGTGACGCTACTGCACAGTAGTAATGAGCTACTGCGTAATGAGCATGTCATGTAGGCACAGCCACTGAGGCTTCAGGTTCTGCAATCTTTCCATGCCCAGAGCTGCACGGTCAGTGGGGTTATGGATTCATGGCAAAGGATCCCAGGTCTCTGGCATGTCCTGCAGGTTGGTTTTGTCAAAAGAAAGCATACAGCAACCCAAGACCAAGGCTTTTTTTTTTAAAAAACAAGCACGCCTAAAAGTTAAGCTACTGTGTTCATCTCTAGGTACTTACCTGAGTTCTGTGATTTACAAAAAGAAACATACTGAGTGCCCACAGACTTCACTTCCACGCTCAGCACTTTTAAACAACCAGGTTACCTTATTTAGATATGTAAATATGAGTTTAGACTCCTAATTCCAAACCCCCGCTTCTCACTGTGACTCCTAAAAAGACTCACCATTTTAAGAAAGCAAGATAAGGCTGGTGTGCGTTTTGTTCTGTTCCATTTCATTTCCACCCCTCTCAATGATAACGCACGTCCTGATAAGAGAAGAAAACAGCATCCGCTCTCACTTCTGGTCCAAGTATATAGTATTGAATTAATAATTTGTTCTGTTTCTGGTATACTTTGAAGTATGTAAGTATCACTGCAATCCCATATGGTAAAATAAGGGTAACCAAATATCATGCTTCAAGGCACAGGATCAGGAAGGATTTTACTCATTTCCACTCTCTTTATGGTAGACATTTTGCTATGTTCTTGCCTTCATCAGGAACTATAGCAAATACTGCCTAACAGGAACATTTAAATGGATGCTTAGCTCTCAGGAAATCCCATGGGATTTCAGCATGTGCTTAAGGTGACATGCCTGCTTAAATGCTTTTGCTGAATCTGGGCCAAAAACAGGATGCAGGGCATGATGCAGCAGTAACCTAGTGCATTACAGCAACATGTTCCTAATTCATTTTTCTGGTGACTATTTCTGACACTCTCTTCAGGTTCTGCAGAGAAGCTTTTTTTTTGTTTGTTTTTTAACATCATAAAGCTCAGCTCTACAGGCAACAATAGAAAACTTGCAAGAGTTCATCTTGGAATGAAGGCTGTTCAACCTGACTTGACCTAACCCAGATGGATTACACTTCTGGCCTCACAATGAACATTCATAAAATTTCCTGCTTTGTGGAGTATAATGCCAACTCTTAAACAGTCGTAGCAAAATATAAGAGTAGCTGCATAGATAGTGTCATGCCATTTTGTTAATGCTTACTGGAGATTATGAAAAACATATGTTAACTACAGTTTAAAAAATTAACATTAACTCATACAAAGCTTGGTGGGCTCTACAGAGTAGTTAGTGCGGGAGGGGAGAGGGGACATGAGACATCATTGCAGGCAACTCCAAAAATGTAAACAAGATGCTAGACAGTGTTAAAGCGACTATATTATAATATCATCATGCAGTTATATGATAGCAGTATGTTCCCAGTCTGTGATAAATAGGGTTCAGTTTTGGTCTCAGAAGAAGATACACTTCTGCATAAAGGATACAGCCAAAAAAGAAAAAGTCCAGGAGTCCAGGAAATTTCCTACAGGTTTGGAAAAGTTTCTGCATGAGACGCTCCATCTACACGTGTAGAAAAAGGCACAATGAGATCTAATGCACGATCCACACAGTCAGACCTCCTGCCTTACTGCACAGGAGGTATGATTGTGGGTTTGCCGAATCCTAACAAGAAGCAAGTTCCCACAGCTGGGAGATGGGCTTTCCAGTAGCTGCAGAGGCTGGAAGCTGGCAGCATCTGCAGTCTCCTAGCCCCAGGGCTCCATGCATCCCTGGGGCTGAGAGATCACATCCAGGCCCCAGGTGGATCCACCCAGAGTCCCCTTAGTTGGGGGAATCCCAGCCTCAGGGGAGATCCTGCTACACATGCAAAATAAAGCTAAATAGCAACCAGCTATAAAGTGAGTACACATTTTCAAGGTCGAACTTTATAGCTGATTGTAACTTTTTATGACACAAGTAATTTGCACGTGTAGCATAAGTAATTTGCACAAGGTAATGTGCAATTAACTGGTTAATTCATGTAACGTATAGAGGGAGCCAGAGATGTCAAACGTGTCAGACTGTGTAGCTTAGAAAGAAGATAAGAAGAAAGGGCATCAACAACAGAAATGTGTTAAATTAAAGGGATGATACAGAAGTGGTGAATTAGGAACTCCCCTTTGGCTTTTGAGACCTAATGAAAAGGCGAAAGCTTTAAAACAGCCAAAAGGAAATATTTGATTATCTGAAAAGAATCCTTCCCTTTCAGTAAGCTATTCCATTACAGAGCAGGTTTACCTCTTAGGTAATGTATGAACGTATGGTATTCAGTTAAGTCTTTGTGGTTGCAGTGGCAAGGGTACTGGCAGTGCCCTCATTGTCCCCACTTTTATCTATGCGTATTGCAAGGGGTTCCTGGTGTTCGTGGATTTGTGCCTGGTAGTTGTTGGTGAGGGTTTGAAGGGGTGATTTTGGGGAACCTGGACACACAGCTACCTTCAGCCGCAGGGGATTGGACCACATGGCCCTGTTGGTCACCACAGAGCAGATTGGTCGGCTCCAATGCAGCCGTCCTGCGTGACCAGGGGGGACAGCAGTGCCGCACAAGCCCCAGAGCTATGGGGTAGCAGGGGGCAGTGGCTCCATCTGGTGAGCCAGTCTGACTCCCCATTGTGCTGCAACACTTCTGTTTGGGGCTTGGTAGTGTCTAGTATCAGAGCTAAGGAGCTGCTCCATATGACATGCAACCTGTCCAAAGTCATCTGGACTGTAGTAGTAATAGTAGTAATAGCAGTGGCAACTGCTGTATTATGTTACGTGCTTCTGTGCAAAGGTTTTGGCCAATGGGTCTATCCTGAATGGAGCCCCTGGCTGTCACTGTAGCCTCCCCACAAGCCCGTTCCCTGTGTTGTGACAGAGCAGGGCTCATCACCGTGCAGGAATG